GTATGTATGTATATATATATACATATATATATATATATATATGTTTATATATATATATATATATTTGTGAGTGTATACATAAATGATTATCAATATGTATTTGTATTTGCATATGACCATGTATATGTATATGTCTTTGTAAACGTATATGTATATATATATATATATAACTTTACATCCAAACACATAAACACAAATATATATATATATATATATATATATTGTGAGATCCAAAATCAAGAGCTAGTTAAGGATAAGTTTCTGTAAATTGAAGTATATATTCAAGTTGTTAAACTATGGATGATTGGATTAGGAGCCTAGTATGCATTTTATTAATGTCAAAATGTAAATATTTTGGTTTACAATAATTTGATAATGTCACATGGCCGAACTTCTATTCCAAAATTCAGTAATGCGGCCCTGGGGCCGTTCATAGTATATATATATATCTATATCTATTTCTATATCTATATATATATATATGTGTGTGTGGTGTGGTGTGTATCTATGTATATATATATATATATATACGTATATATATATATATAATTTTATATGTATAAATATATATCTATGTATCTATGTATACATATATATATGTATCTATGTATGTATATAAGTATGTATATATAGGTATATATGTACATATATATATATAAATATACATATATATATATATAATTATATATTTGTATACATATTTATATATATATATATGTGTGTGTGTATGTATGTATATATATATATGTATGTTGTATGTATGTATGTATGTATATATGTATATATATTTTCATATATATATATATTTTTTCAAATGTATAAAAATATATTTTCAAATATATATATATATATATGTGCGTGTGTGTATGTATGCATGTATATATATATATATATATATGTATATATACATATATATATTAATTTACTTGTATGTATTTATATACATATATAATGATATATATCGGTATATATATATATATATATGTGTGTGTGTGTATGTCTATCGATAGATGTGTATAGATATATTTTTATACTCCTGTATGCGCCTTTAAGTACATAAGTATATACTAGATAATTGTAAACGTATGTATACACTCATTCAAACAGTCAAGTATATATATATATCAGAGGTGTGTGTATATAGCCAATCATACCTATGTGTACATTCATTCATCATTACGTATATTTATAAATCCCTTGCATTCGTAAGTTCCACCCAGACGGTTTAGAACGACCACTCAGGTCCCTTTCTCTCACAATCTTCCCATGTTAAACCAACAGTGGTGTAGTGGTCGAAACCAAGCCAGACCAACCAGCCGAGCGTCATCAGGTGTTGCGCTTTGTGAACTGTCGGGTGTACAAAGGCGGCAAGTTGCAGGACACAGACGTGTGGGTCAACAACGGCAAGATCATCGATCCCTTCTACCGCTTCTACAGGGCTACCTCACAAAGCGACTTCGACGCCGATGTGGTGGTGTGTGCATGGGAGTTGCCGTTACTGATGTTGTGTTATGTATGCCAAGCCTACGGATAAAGGGACCTAATGACCTGTACATGGTGCAAGGGTACTGTTTATCGGGCTAGTAGGCCTAGATCTCAAGCGGTCATGCAATGGAAGTTATTAGTTGGATCTGTGTGTCAGTTGTTTATTTGCGATAGTTCTGTATGGTTTCTGTTGTTAGGGATGGGTTTCTGGGGATGTGTTCCATACACTCCTGCACTGCCCCTACGCGTCATGCGAATGCGTGCACTCGCGTACGACGGAGTTGTGTGGCCGCTCCCGAAAGTCACACCCTGGCCATTCTACCTACGACTCACAGAGTCAATCAGCCCCATTGCCCGCTTGGCTTTGGCTAGGGCTCTCCTGAAGAGCGTTTGTCTACATCTGTGTTTACTTGTGTATGAATTTGAGTCAGTATGGTTTAGTGTAGTGGGACAGTTCCTATGTCTTGCAAGCCGTTTGCTTCTCAACCCTCTGAGTACTCGAAACCTAGTACGATGGCGACATATCAGTATATCTGCCTATACACCAATGCAGTACTGCTGGTGCAGATAGATGGCCATGTAACTGTGCTATTGTGACCTATGAGTGTTGTATACTCACATACACATACACACACATACTATTATGACTTATGAGTGTTATTTACTCACATACACATACATCAATGCAATACTGCTGGTGCAGATAGATGACTATGTAACTGTACTATCATGACCTGTGAGTGTTATTTACTCACATACACATACACCAATGCAGTACTGCTGGTGCAGATAGATGGCCATGTAACTGTATTATCATGACTTGTGAGTGTTATTTACTCGCATACTCATGCACCAATGAAATACTGCTCTTGCAGATAGATGGCCATGGGGCTATACTAGCACCTGGATTCATTGAGATCCAAATCAACGGAGCCTTCGGAGTGGATTTCTCGAACTACGACACCGAATTGGAAGACGTGCAGAGTGTGGGACGTAACTTAATGCAGTACGGTGTCACCAGGTAAGCATTGCTTTTGCTTATGCTTGTCGTATGCTCATGGTTGTGATCAAGGCTATGATCATGGTTGTGCTTGTGGTTATGCTCATGGTTATGGTTGTGCTTGCGCTGATGCTTATACTGATGGACTTGCTAGGCTGTTTTTGTACTATGATCATGGCATGGACATGCCTGTTGCGTGTGTACCAGTTTACTCGTTGCTACTTCCCTAGCGCTCGGTTCACCTTGTCATATATATATATTTATATATAGCCTCACGTTGTCATGATCGTGTTGCTAAGCAGCCTGTACCACTTGATCAGCGAAGTGCATTGGCTTCAGTGGACTGCGTTTGATCGTACTGTGTCTGTGTTCTGAGATGTTAAGAAAGAGACCTCTCTTGGTCAGCAGATCTTGGATTCGTTTTGAACGGGAGACAGGGGTCGCGAGTGCAAGTGGTTTTAGCCCCTATAGCAACCCCCCCCCCTCCTCTCTCTCAAAGAAAAGTGATATTTTCATTCGACATATGGGCCTTTTGTGCTTTCTTTCATCTCTGTGTCCGATGTTGGATAGATCACTTTGAATTTATTTTTTATTGTCTGTTTGTCACTTTAATACTTTGTTAATGTTTGTTTGTCACTGCTCCTTCACGGCCTAGTTTCTGCCCCACGCTCGTGACCTCACCCGCCAACAAGTATCACGAGACGTTGCCCAAGTTTGTCAGATACGCAGGAAGCCCTGAACTGGGTGCCACCAACCTTGGACTGCACCTGGAAGGTGAGCAGATGGGACCCCCCATGTGCATGTAGGTGCATGTGTCATGTACCTTGTGCATGGACACACCCAATATCTCTTCTTCTGATGGTCTCTTATTGTGTGTATTGTCTTTTGGGTGGCCATAGCTGAATATCTCTTCTTCTGATGGTCTCTTATTGTGTGGATTGTATTGTATTGTCTTTTGGGTGGTCATAGCTATATATCTCTTCTGCGGATTGATACGCCTACCTTGCATTTCAGTGATAAATGGAGCAGTCGATAAGCTCCTTGTAGGCATATGAATTGTACTTGTGCCATCTTCTTGTTAATTGTGGGTGTACCTTCTGTTGTCTTCATATGCAATCGGGTGGATATGTAGGGCCATCCATGATCAGATGTGTTACATTTGTGGTGATTGATCACTTGTGCTAGTCTCGTATTAATCTTTCATTAGTGTTTGCTTGTATTAGTCTTGTATTCGAGTTGCATTAGTCATATTAGTCTAGTACTAGTCTTGTATTAGTGTTTGCTTGTATTAGTATTTACTTGTATTCGTGTTGCATTTGTCATATTAGTCAAGTACTATTCTTGTATTAGTGCTTGCTTGCATTAGTCTTGTATTGATATTGTACTAGTATCTGCGTGTACTGATCATAGCCCCTTCCCTTCCTGGGTGTAGGGCCATTTATGAGTCTGCAGAAGAAAGGAGCACATGATCCCAAACAGATTGAAGCGCCGGTGGATGGATGGGAGTCGCTCATTGACCGCTACGGCCCTTCACTGCAGCAGAACGTCCGCTACGTCACCATCGCTCCCGAGTTAAACGGCGCCGTTGCAGCCATCAAGGTCTGCGGGTGTTGGTTGCTAGGCAACAACGTGTTTGTGTGCGAGCTGAGCGTGACAAGTGTGTGTATATGCACGCAAACATAGTATGTGTGTGCATGCCACATGGTTTGTGAGATGTTGGTGTGTGTGCATGTGAGTGAGTGTGTGCTCGTGACTCCCTCTCCTACAATGTTTTGTGCCTCTGCTTTGCCACCACTTGGAACAGTTCACGCGTAGTGTGAACCACAGAGCACTGAGCGATTGGTATAGGTATTGCATTGCGCGTGTTCCTTGCCAATGTGCTCCTGCACCAACCAATAGAGTGTCAAGAGAGTGTCAATTGTGTCACGAGAGTGTCAATTGTGTCATAAAACCCTAAAATAATTTGTGCCAATAGAGTATCAATTTAGCTATTAATTATTAATTGTG